AAGAAAAAAATTTACTAACATTTTAGAAAATCATAGTAAGATAAGTATAGGTAGAGTTAATATTGACTTTAACAACTTGAATCAACCAAAAATTACTTTATGCAGATGGAAAAGGACTTTATGGAAAAAGACAGTTGCAAGCAACAAAAGAAAAAATTATTCAACTTAAAATTAGATTAGGTTATAAAAAATTGTTCATATGGACACTATTAGAAGTATTGTGAAAAAAGTTTAAAAACCTATGGAACTGTGACAAATTTGTCAAACTCTGGTCATCCAAGGAAAATGCCAGTGTGTAAGGACAGAAAAATGCTGAAAGAAGCATTTTCTTGCTGCTTTCAGCATTTTTATCAGCTTCAAAACTAAAAAATATTTTATGAACAGATCAAAAAATGATCAAACAATCAGAAATCAATTGCATATGAAAAAATACCAATTATGGACAAAGAAATATAAAACTTTACTGTGAATGACAGGAAACAAGTTTTGTTGTCAGATGAAGCAAAAATGAATCTTGTTGGATCAGACAGAATTTTCAATGTTTGGAGGCATATAGTAGCAGCTTTGGAAAAATAAAAAAATGTCAAAACTGTTAAACATGGATGGAATAGCAAAATGATTTGGGTTTTGGAGAGATGTAAGAAATCTTGAATTAATCAACAAGATTATGAACAAAGAACTTTACCACAAGACCCCGGAGAAGAATATTTCATAAACTGTATCTTGGAAAGAAGTTTATTTTTTAACAAGACAGAGCTAATAATATCACACAGCTAATAATATTATATTCTAGTTCCAAAAAAAAAAAATCAAAACACTAGACTGACTTCTACAATCTCCAGTTTTAACTCAAATTTAACAGTTGTCAATATTAAAGACAAAAATTGCAAAAAAAAATAACCTTCAAATCTTGTACAATTTGGTTAAGAAAGAATGTTACAAAATTGATAACAATATAACTGGAAGATTAGTGGAATCCATACCAAAAAGAGTTGATGCAATCTTTAAGACTAAGGAGAGTTATGTAAAATATTATTCTGTAGCACTTTGTTTGAAACCCTGAAACAAGAGACATACATCAGGGTGTGATTCATTTTTTTGAGATATAATTTTGTACTTATTAATCCCATAAAAAACTGTTGAAACCAAGTTGAAAAAGTAAAGCTCAGAAGAAGCATCTAATAAAGGAAACTTTTGAAAGTTGTGGCATAAGAATAGTGGAACCAGATTTGACAGTAAGACTCAACATGTGAATAAATTACACATCTTACTGACAAATCTAATTCCACTATTCTTATGCCACAACTTTCAAAAATTTCCTTCATTTAGATGTTTCTCCTGAGCTCTATTTTTTCAACCTGGTTTCACCAGTTATTTTTTATGGGATTTCAAGTATTTTTCAGTCATCAATAACTTCATAAGAGAATAGTTTACATCAGTGGTTCTCAGCCGGGAGTACAAGCATAAATCTAAGGGGTTAGCATCTAACTTTCATTATGAAATGGCATATGTTAATCAATTTGCTGTAAATTATTAACACAAAAAATGACAAAAACTTGCTTTAAAATATCCTAGTGTGAACACCAATTTCCCTTTTAACAGTCTAAACAACTTGTTTATCCACTTGATTTGCCTGTCTATTTGTGCCGTTAGTGCTGAGTAAACCTGTAGTCTAGTAAAATTACAGTTTAACTGAGCATTAATTATTGCTTGATAAGATTGTGCTTTTCGTGGTTTTACTGGACTACTGGTATTACGAATAATGAAGCCTGGATCGTATCCCCACCATGCAATGCGCATGTCACTGCATGCTCGCATTACTTGATATTTAGCAAATTTATACATTACGTTTGTTACAAAAATTGAAAGATTCATGTATTGTTCTGCACGTTATAAATTCGCAGCCATTACTTTAAAGGTCAGTAGATAATTATAATCTCCATTTAACAACATGGGAACCAAATTTTGAAAAAATTGCTGAAGATTTATCGCAACAAATATCCCATTAAATTTTGTTAGAAATTATTGTAGAATAATTTAAATTTTCTTTATTGTTAATTATAATTATTTATTTTTAGGAAATGTAATTTATGCATGTATTGAAATGACTTCTGTGATTTNCCAGGTATGCATTAAAAATTAATTTTTAAAAAATTTACAGAAAAAATACAATATTTAATTTCTATTTATATTTATGCAAAATCTATTCCTATAACTATTCTCTATAATAAGTTTTCTTCAAGAAACAAAAAGAAATTATTTTCTATTGAACAAATGGCAAAAATCAAGTTTTAAGTCTTTCATATAATTATGCTGTCTGAATTCAAATTTCCTCTATGAATCTATTTTGTAATTGTAACTGTAGAGAAAAAACTTTGATAGCAACACTTATTCCTAATTATACTGGACTTATTCCAAGCTGTTGTTAAATATACAAGTTATCAGCAACTGAGAGAGTGAGTTTCAGATCATATTTCATACATACAAGGTACCGTAAACATAACTTTTATGTTATGTAGTAGTGAATTGTTCAGATTTAAAAAATTCATTTTATGACATAAATATTTGCTTGATTCAGAAAAAATTAAATTTAGATAGAAAACAAAGTATAAAAGCAAATAGATTGTACAGTAATATTAAATTATATTTTTTTATAACAACACTGTAAAGTTCATAATTACTACTAAAATCAATAAATATCAAACACTAGTACAGAAAAAAAACTTTGATGAAAACTAATGGCTAGATTCATATGAAATTTGAAAGATAAATTTTTAAAATTTATTTTTCAAAAAAAAAATAAATTAATTGTTTCTATGCTTTAATATTAAATAATTTTTATTAGAAAGCCAGTAATTATCTTAATATTTACAATTGTCAATGGGCTACTGAAACACAACAAAAAACTTTTTATAAAAAAAAACAAGTAAAATTATGAAGAAAACTTGAAGATGTATTGAAAATGACAAATATAATAAGAACTAATTTTAAAACAAAAAAAGGAAAAGAGACTTAAACAACAATACAATAAACACAAGAGTAATGCATGCCATTAATGGACACAACAGATTAAATTTATATAATTTTCAATTTCACAAAGCTGAATTGATTATCTGGCTAAATACTTATCTATATTGGATTAAAAAAACCTTTTAGAAAAATGTTTAATAATAATCTGTACTTAACATATTATTTAAGTAATACAATGTTAATAGAGTTAAAAAAAAATAATAATTAATAAATAAAATAAATTATTTGCAGAAACATATATTTAATTACCTATCAGAGTTTATGTCTTGTTGTTCGTCTAAATCTGGATTTGTAAAAGATTCAGTGATTTTATCATATCCTTGATTTAATTCTTCAACAATATTTTCAATTGTTTCTTCTTTTTGTAAGTTATTATCTAATGTTTCATTCATATCCTCATCTTGTACAACATTATCAGTTGACTGTTGATTTTTAACTAATGGAGCAAATACTTCCATTTCTATCCCAGATTTCTAGAAAATAAAGTCTTACTTTAATATAATATAACTTAAAATAACCATTATGTTTCAGTATTATATTTCACTATATAAATTATTGTAGCCTTCAGATCAAGAAATCATTTAAAATTTTAGATTATGACATAGAAAGCTTATCATATGAAAAATAATACATTTTATTGAAGATAAATCATGTAAATATGGAGTGAACCTGCTAGATGCAATGCAAATGACTAACAAAGCTTAAAATGAAGTTTCATAAAACAGCATTGCAAATTGCTTTATAAAAGCAGGTTTTGGTTAAGAAGTTAATACTCCAAATAAATCAGAATTTTTATCAAAATCCATTGATTATATCAAAGAAGACTGGGTAAATTACAGCAATAAATGATGAAAAGTGTCATTCAAAGGTTTTGACAATGTTCAGAACCACAGTATATATATAGCACAACTCTGTTATAATGCAATGCAAGTGTGAGTCCTAAGTTTCATAAGCTGAAATGGATACTTAGTCAATAAATATAAAATGTAATTTTTTCTATTTTCAAAAGTATTTTGTATGAATAGAAATTTTGTAGTTAAGAGGGCAATTTAGGATTATCTCTGTTTTCTGTACACACCCATGGACTAATTAGCACAGATAATCAGAAGTTAAATGTAATTGTGGTCAGGATTTAAAGCTAAGGTTTATGTTATCTGTGATTATTACAAGCAAACAGTTACCTTTTACACAAACATAAATAAATGCTTATTTATATAAAACTGTTTGTTCTTTGAATCAAATACAAATAGTTGATTAGTTAGATTTAATTTTAAATTGTTCTTTTCATATCTACTATGAGAAAATTATTTACTTTTTACAATGAATTTGCTTTTGCAGATATAATGTATTTAAATAAAAAATTATAGAACAACTTTTTTTCTTAACTAATTAAAAATATATATGAATTAAATTGAAAATATTAGAAAGACAACTACTTTAAAATGAATTGTTTCCAAGATTTGAGAATACTTCTTTTTTAATCATTAAAGTCTTTGTATCATGCTGATATGCCAAAGAAAGTAAATAAATAACTTCAAATTATACAAATTATATGAAGATGAACTTTTTATCAGTGAAAAATTGCATTCACAGATTCATAATGATAGACTTTTTGTCAATGAATGTTGCATCTGTGGATTATATCAGCCCTGCAGACAAGCAGGAAATTATAATGCTAGCCATATTTTAATGTTTTTGTATTTTGTGTGTTACAATTCTTGTAATTAAAGGATTTAAAAATTACATATAGTGGTTTTTACCTTCTTCATTAGTAATTAGTCATTACAAGCAAAGAAAATTTTATGATAAAGATTTTGCTAGATATTATCTTAAAGTTGAAAAAATATCACAAACGGATTTTTTCACTGTTAAACAATGAAAAATCCAAATCTGAAAATTAAAAATATATTTAAAACTAATAAACACTACATAGATTTAAAATGAACTAAATTAATTTTACTTCAATATCTAGAAATAAAACTTACTCTTTTAATTTTAAAAGAACAGGTACATCATCAAACTTTTTAAAAGAAGGATCATGAGCAAGCATATGTATTGCATATGGTAATACATAATCAGGAAGAAGAGTAAGCATTTTGTCTAAATAAAAATTAAATTTTTAAAACATTAATGAATAACAAACAATATCAGCCATAATATACTATATCACTAAACATGCATGAATAATTTTAAATATTTAGGTTATTTAAGTTAAATTTTCAAGTGATGAGTGCATATATTATTTTTTCAAAAGTCAGAAAATCAAACACATCTTTTACAGAAGATAATGAATATCAATTTAAACTAGATACATGTTGAATATATAAAGACCATGCTTGCTATCTGAATTGTTCATTAACCAATTATCAATTTACTATAGATTTTTGTGAGAATTTGATTATTTCGTTCTGGAGACCCCAAAAAAATAAATAAAAAATTATATACTTTCTAACTGTGTTTATTTACATGTAATAACAAACTGAAAGCAATCTCTCCATTTTTTCATGGATGGCATATCTTTGTTTCTCAGATGCAATTTTTATTACTCCTTTATCTGCTTGAGTCTTTTTGATTATATCTTTCTTAGCTAAGAAAGCTAAGAATGAAAGCTGTTGAAGTCATCTACCTAAAATATCAGACATCTGCTCACTCTCTAACTTGGCTATCTCTTGCTTAGTTTCTACAGTAAACACAATTCTTGACACTCCACTCTTTTTAGGCCCATAGTATTATCAGTTTTTTAAATAAAAAGTTCAGAAAAGCACTTACAAAAATTCAGAGAAAAGAAATTAACTAGTGTGAAAAAAAAGTTATGAATATGACTGTGAAAGTCTCATTCCATAAACCATGTATAGATACCATTAAAATAGTTTTACAAATCTTAAATGCAGCATTGCTTCTTCCTGTGTTTGTTCTGTCAAGAGTTCATTATCCAAACATAAAATCTTTCACAAAAGTGTTCATTGTCCAATTTCTTTGCAGTCCGAGCTGTTCATTAGCCGATCAATGATATAATGCAAATAATATTAAAATTAAAGAAGTAAACTTTTCTGTACTTCAATTTATGCAATTGCAAAATAATTTCTATTAAANCATTTTATTGTTTATTCAAATAAATATAGTTAGTAAGTTTATTACTTTAGGATATAAAACCCATAATGGAATGCAACTTAATACATAATACAATCAATCATGTTACAACATTTTTTTCACTGACAATTTAATATACAGGTATCCCTTGCTTAATGTGGGACTTGATTAACACATGAAATTAATTACAACAATCCCTTTGTATCTGAAGCAGAAGTTTTAATTAACTGCCTTCAACAGCTTTTTTTACTTAACATAGATATGTAGTTTAATTAAGCAGTTGTAAAATTTAATACATTACTGCTAATGTGAGATTGTATTCTTTCTTTAGAAGCTTATTTTAAAACTTTATAAATTACTTCTATTATATAATTAGATATTTTAATTATTGGTAATTTCACCATATTACAAAACATTATGTGAATATTATCTTCATCTAATTTCATAACAACAAAGTCAGATATAACTTATAACTTCTTATAACTTGTAACTCTACATTCTACAAAATTATGGAATAGGGAAAATACATTTTCATTGTTAATTATTTAAATACTGTATACAATATTCCTTTCCTAAAAGAATTGTCTTTGATTTGTATTTCAAAAACACATCTCAGTTGATCTCAGTTGCAGTATTATATTTTTTAAATTCTGATATGTGAGGTTTAAAAATGAAAAAGAGTTTATAAACTGCACTAATATCAATTATGAAAATTACAGTATTGCACATTATAATAATATAAATCAACAGCTGATTTAAATACATTTCTATGCTTAACGCATTACTTTCCTTAGAAAATTCTTTTTTTCTTAAAAACTTCTCAAAAACCAATTAAGTTTTAATATATTTAATATATAAGTTTTTTAATAGTATAAGAAACTTAATATTTTGTTGCCTTCAATTTTCAATCTTTAATATTTTGTACAATACAAATACAAAAGATTATTCATTACTATACTTATGATTTAAAAAGCCAAGAATTAACTTCAAACAATCCACTTTCATTTGAGCATAATGAATTTCTGCTCCTATTGAATAGTCCAGAACCAAAAAATCCAAGTTTAAAATGTTTAAAAATTTTGTACCTTTTGTACTATTTCAAATTTCATTATAAACCAGACAGGTAGTGCATAAGTCAATGCAGGTTTAATTATTGAGTTTAAAATTTTTTTATATATTACAATTTAGTCTGTTTTCAACTTTATTAGTAATTTCTTTGGGTTTTATATATAGTTACAGTAGAGCATCGATTATCCAACTCAATTGGGGACTTGGGTTGGTTGGATAACTGAAAAAATTGGTTAACCAAAAAGAATGATAAAATACATTATTAGTATAGTATATTAGCATATTAGTATATCCCATGTAATTAGTATATCAGTGTATCGCTGTTAACCTAATTCGCACTGAATTTTCACCGATGTTAAGCCTAACAAAATTTTTTTAAAATAATAATCATCGCTATTGTATCGTTAAAAAATACTTTAAAATTATTTTATTGCTCACAAAACAAACAACCACTCATAATTAGAAAATTAAATCTCGTTTAAATACTGGCCTCCCTGTCATGGTCGAGCCAGTGTTGCCAGCTAAAACACGCAAAAATTTAACAAATATAATATTAAAGTAGCCAAGACATAGCCAAATATTGTAGCACCACATCACTAGCGGACATTTGAACTTTGCCGACTAGAACGGTTGGTTAACCGATGTGATGGTTAATCAGCGGTCTGATAATCAATGCTCTACTATACTTTGCTTTCACCATCAAATTCCTTGTATGCTTTTCAAATTGTCAAAAAACCTTTTGTTTGTTTTCTTTAATTTATATTAATCCATTTCTAAATACTGACACTGGTGAAAACATTAACTTAAATTTTGCAGTGGAACCTAGTTAAAAATCAGTTAGGGTGAAAAAATTTTGACTTTAAAGCTATGAAGGTTCCTCTAAAAATCAAGATTTCATGCATTGGTTTATTTGGTGACCCATAATAAACTATCCATATGATACTGAGGTATGATCACTCAGCAGTATATAAATCAAAAAAACACAACACCTTAATTTGCTGAGAAAAAGTTAATAAAAAGCAAATGTTTTCAGCCAAATCTGTTGGCCATCATCAGGCTAAAAAATTCAACTATAAACAAAATAGAACAAAAATTTAAATACAAATAAAATAAAATAACGAATGAAATATACATATACATGTATAATATTTCCGTGATATGATATTTCTGTGATTCTTATTACATAGAATCATTGTGTTGTAAATTTCGCAGTGTTGTCCAGAAACTTGAAAACATTCAACTGAATGGGTAAATATGCTACTGAGAAATTCTGTCCTGAATTGTTGATCCGTTCATTCCTAAGTGTTATGTAAGGATTTTTTAATTGCTGAATTTTACACCTAGAATCAATCTGTTTATTATTATTTTTTATCACAAAAAACCATTCTTTACAGCTGTTATATTTTTAAAATTTTGCTGCAGAGGTTAAAAATTTACATAGAATCAGAATGTAATCATTTTTTAAAAATTAATTTATCAAAATTTCATTTATTAATTACATCAGCTAGTAAGAGAAATCCATTAGCAATCAAAGAAAACAAACTATTAGAAAAAAAAAAACCAGTTTCGAATGGTAGTTACAGTAGCTAGGTCACACATGCTGTCTAGAAGTTCCATCGCTGTCTGCCATCACTTGACACAATGTTTATTTTCAGTTGTATGCAGTTTCCATGCTTTACAGAAAGTTTCTGATTAATTTATTCAACAAATTAATGTTTATTATTTTATTTAACAGAAAATTGAATTTCTGGAGAGATTATGAAAATACTGTAGCAAAACCACCATTCAAGTTAAACAGTTCAATTTAACATGTAAATCCGTATGATGGACAATTGGGGAAAGAAAATGACTGAGTAAACACAACTTTGAGTTAACTAGGTTCCATTGTATTACTTTTACAATATATATATAGATTGGTTATTCAAAGTTCTTTGTTAGCCTATTGGAGAATAAGAAAAAAATTACTATATCAACTGCATAATGAAAACTATTGTATTTCATTCTTTGATACTCTAAGGCTATCATTATAGGTAGAGAAAATTAGCAATGCTAGAATGTTAGTAAATAATAAAAAAATGTAATTGGCTAGGTAAGTCTTTTAGTGGAATATGCAATCTGCCCAGAAAAAAATATGAGTATTTGCTGTTCTGAGAAATAGTTGCATGAGTTTCTGAATATCAAAGAATATAAATTATTTTTTAATTTATTACTTATTCTAATGGTATGCAGTTTTTTACACAATAATTGAACTTCAGTTTTTTCATGATTTTCCTCTGAACCACTAATAGTTTTTCAGCTAAGTTCATCTGATCATTAATTGAGCCACTTGCCAAATTGATTAACTCCATAAAACAAAAAGTATAAAAATTGATAATATACATTATTTAAAAAAATTCTTTTTAAACTTTAAATTTAAATAAACATTGTAGAATGTATCTTCATATACCATTATATTAAAGCATAGCTTTGATGTAACAATATATAAAATTAGATACACAAAAAATATAAACATAATAATGATTATATTAAGGATTTACAAATGGAGTTAATTGATTTGGCCTGTGAATGGTTCAATTAAAGATTCAACTTATAACATTTTGCTAAAGTGTAATATGACAAAGAAGTAGATATCATTTAGTTTCATTACATTTTGGCAAATTTTGATCAGAGTCAAAGGAAAATAACAACTGTCAGAAATTGTTGAAGAAGATTTTAGACAACTGATATACAGTATTAAGTGTAGAATACAGGCATAAAAACAAACAATCTGTATTGACATCCATTTTTTCTTGTGAAAGTCTCTGTTTCTTTGGGACTTTCAGAAATTTATAATAAAATCATTATTTCACGTAACTACTGAGTAGTTATGCAAAAATCTATACATCTCTTTATGATTTTCATAATAATATTATCCAATTTCATATTTTTTAAACTTATACTTA